CAAAAGATGCAAGGAACTAGTGAGTGTAAAAGAAACAAAGAGAACAATAAATGAACAGGAATACAAGGAGATCAGATAATGATTGATGTTGCATTTAAATTGATGGGAAAGCAAGAAGCTGGAAGAAAGTTCCACAAGCAAGCAGTGTGAGAGAAGAAACTGTTAGTCTAGAACTTCTGCTTACTTAGCTATTTCTGTAGTAAAATGAAACCTTGTTAGTCAGTTTCAGTGACATGTTCAAAGACACACATTATCAATAAATCAATAAAAGTTCAAGTTCAGGACTTTACATCAAAATGCTCATCATGGTCAGATGTTTGATAAATCTATTGAAATTATTATCGGATTTTATATTTATATTCCTTGGAACAAATGCTATTCATAAATTAAAAATTCTTACCAAATTAGTTTTGTTACAAATGTAACATTTAAAACCTACTTTGTTATATATATATATATATATATATATATATATATATATATATGATAGTGAACCCATGCAAACATTCCAATACATCGTATGTTGCTAACTAAGGTGTGAAAGTGATTTTCATGTCTACACAAATATTTGAGAGAGAGTGGGATCTATTCTTAGATATTTTGTACAGAGAATTTTTTTTTAATTTCCCAAATTTTTGAGCACTCAGAATTTTTTTTTTTTTTATTTTTTTTTTTTTTATAAATGTTTCATTAGATTAGAAAATTACCTTATATATAATTTGTTTATTATACTTTGTACATGTATATTTATACAACATAGCAAAGGAGAGTGAGAAGAAAGGACTAAACATAAACTACAAGAAGGCAGAATGCTTGATCCTCCGTAAAAAGAGGAGCTTGAAATGTGACTTTCAGATCGGGGACACTAAAATCAAGCACATGTGTAAGTGTTGGTTCAGCAAGCTTTTCTAATAACTGTATCATGGGACACCAAGTGATAAATAAACTGATGGGTGTATGTATGGGAAGGTGCTGAAAAGTTGTTGATCTGATCCACTTCACAGAATCTGATGAAATGACCAATGGTCAGAATTTATTTCCTGAGCATTTGGAAACATTCCATCATCCCCTCCTGTATGTATAAACAAACACACACACATATATATATATATATATATATATATATATATATATATATATATACACACACACACACACACACACACACACACGATTATAATAGTCACTACTCAGTTAATTATAATAAAAAAAGCAAAGCACTGAATCAGGTTGCTTGCAGTTCAAACAGTATTGGTAATTAATTTACTCTTGTTTACCATAACATTTTATTCTTATTAACCAGAATTAAACAGAACCATTTTAATAATAAATTTTGGGCTGTTGATTAATTACTTTGTCTTAATTGTTATTGTATCTATCTGTATAGTGACTTTATTTCCATCCTCTGTGTGTGTATGTGTGTATATATATATATATATATATATATATATAAATAAAAAACCACAAAGGGCATCTCTAGGCGGTGTAATGGTTAGCAAGCTTGGCTCGCTAGAACAATTATGACTGAGTAGTGAGTTTGGTCCTCCCTGGGTACCCCCAATTTTGGCCTTGTGCCACATCTAAGCTATGCTTGGAAAATCACTATATATAAATCACATTACTAGATTGGCAGCAAGGTTTCATCATTTTACACTTGACTTGGTTAAATGTAACCATAAGTTCTATGCTAACAGTTTCTTTTCTTGCACGTCTCATTTGTAGAACTCCCTTCCAGCTTCTCACCTCCCAGTCAACTTTGATCTTCAAAAATTTAAAAACAATCTCAATCATTGTCTTAATTCTTGTTCTCTTTTTTTTTTTTTTGTCCTTTCTCCTTAAGAGTATACTTTTCCCATATTCTCTGATTCTCAGCAACCCCTTTTTTCTTAGTGGCTTTATTACCTTACTTGCAAAATGATTAAAAAAAATATAGATCAAAGTAGATTTGAACAAAAGAAAAGAAACTATTGCTGGCAAAAGTGTTTGTCAATATGATGGCAGCGTGTTAATTTTATAGGGGAAGTGGTAGGTTGTATCTTATAAAAAGGAAAGAGAAATCTTCCTATTTTCCTGCCATGTACTTGTAGCTAGATATTCAACAAGAGAATAGCAATGCAATGCAGATTTGTGTGTTTAGGAACAAGGAGCCAGGAAGAAGATTTACAAAGTTAAGGTGATTGAGTACAAATACACATATTCTCTTCTAGACAGGTGACTTCTCTCCAAAATTACAATAGGATAAAGAGAAAGACACAAACAGGAGGAGGAAGAGCAATGAAAGAAGAGAATAAATTAAGAAAGAATATAAAAACAAATTGAAGTAAATAGAACTAAGCAAGTGATTGGGGAACATTCCAGAAGTGCACATGTATACGGCAAATTTATATAGTTAAGTCTTATGGTGCTTATCAGTAGCAAATAACAAGGGCTAAGAGTTATGCCATAACACACTCTCTGAAGGCTCCTATAAGGCTGCTTTCTTTCCAGTGCCAGTGATAAATGTTTCTTTGCCTAAACATTAACAGTCAGATCACAAAACTTGCATCGACTTCTGCTTGCTTAGATTTTTTTTTTCCTTTTTTGTTTTTTATATATTTTGTTGATTTTTATTCATCCCCACACTTTATTTCTACTTGAATTTTTCTTTTATTCCTATATTTTCCTTTCTATTTTTATTCATCCCCACACTTTATCTCTACTTGAATCACTTTATCTTTATTCCTATTGTGTACTTCCTTTCTATTTTTATTCATCCCCACACTTTATCTCTACTTGAATCACTTTATCTTTATTCCTATTGTGTACTTCCTTTCTATTTTTATTCATCCCTGCTTTTTATCTCTTTGAATCATTTTATCTTTATTCCTATTGTACTTCCTTTCTATTTTATTCATCCCCATCTTTATCTCTTTGAATCAGATTATCTTTATTCCTATTGTGTACTTCCTTTCTATTTTTATTCATCCCCAATTTTCTCTTCTTGTATCACTTTTATCTTTATTCCTTTCGTCCTTTCTATTTTTCTTTATATTTCATCCTTCTACTCTATTACACATCTTTTTAACATTGCTCTTTCCTTTAAATTATCTTTTTCCTTTACTCATAATTCCTCTCATCTTTTTTTCTTTTGTATCAGATAAAGAAAGAGGGGAAAATATTCTACAATTTTTCTTCTCCTCCTTTTCTTCATAATTCACCTCCTTTTCTTTTCTTCATCTCATCATTTTCTCTGTTCTTCAACATCCTTTATCTCATCATTCCTCTGTTCCAACATCTTTTTTTCTTATCTATCTTCTCCCCTTTTTTCACATATATTTTTCTCTTCATTTCTATTTTTCACTTTGTCTTTTTGTTTATCATCTGCGTCTTTCCATTTCTTGGAAATTTTCCTTTATTCAATATCTAGCTCAATCATTATCATGTTTTTCTTTCCTATTTACCCTTTATTTTTTTCTCTTTCTTTTTCTTCACCCACTACTGTTTTATATTGTTTGTTTTAAAAGCCTTTTCACTTCTCCATATCTTCATCTGTTTCTTTCTGCCTTCTTCCTTCAATCATGACAAACAATGTCTACCCACAATCTGTGAAAAATGTTCATTCCATACACAAGGCTCCAGAGATAACTGTTTGAACTGTAAAAAGCAAAAATCCTCCTCAATAAACCTGTAGCACTTCAGAGAATTTGTGATGTTCCGAACACATCAACAAATCAAAGCTTTTGACAAATGATTCTTTGGGAGACAGAGAAACAAAATTCTAGCCTTTGAAAACATTTGTATTATGTTGTTTTATACAAATGCCATACATTGTTTGCATTGATTATCGAACTGCATTAGGGAACAGATAATATCCAAAAGTAATATTTAGTTCAGATTAAAATTAAAATTTTTATTAACATTACTATTTAAAAAGTGAATTTAAACTCTGGTTACAATAAATATTGGTCATATTTATTGTATAATGAGGAAGGAGGTCTTGGAAAATCTAAACCTCTTGGGGCATATTGAGTGCCAGAGAAATAGGGGAAGGCCTTGAATCATTTACCTGATGAGTCTGTTTTCCACTAACAGGAAGTGGAAAGTTATCAGACCAACTGCTCTGCCTGTTGCTAGGAAACTTTGTTCTCTGAGTCATGTAAGACAACTGTTCTCACCTGAATCTATCTTACGTATTTAAAAGTCTACCATGCATCCATTGATACCACATATTGTCTGATGCCCCTGTTGTATATTTAGAGATCCTTGATAAAATCCAAATAAGAATTTACAAAGTCATTGGCCCTGAAATGGCATCTTGGCTTTCGTCACTTTCCCACCACCATAACGTAGCTTCCCTGAGGCTTTTCTATAAATACTTTCATGATAATTGTTTGGGTGAACTTTCCTCTATGGTAAAAATACACAATGGGGTTTAGATTTTTTAAATTGTTGTTTAATTTCCCTCCCCTCACAGACAATGAATTCTGTATATGGGGGCTAGTTAGGACCTTCATAGAGACATTGAGGTATTATGGTGGATGTAGTAAGAATGGTAAGTAAGAATTCATTGTTTTGGTGTTAGGAATATTGTGGTATGTTTGAGTCAGTGATTGTGGCTAGCTAAGTTTAAATTTAAGACAGAAGAAGACTGTCCTTTTCTCCATTTCTTTTTTTGGCCTTGTGCCACATTTTGTATTTTTACAAATAACTATCACTTTCCTCTATGGTACTGGAGTATCAGTTTTAAATATTATTTTATTCCCCACACCAGAGACAAATAGTATATATGGGAACTAGTTAGGAATTCCTAGACTTTGAGGTACTATGGTTGCTGTAGTAAGAATGGTAAGTAAGAATGTGTTGTTTTGGTATAAGAAATACGTTTGGGTCAGTCATTGTGGTTAGCTCAGTTTAAAATAAGACAGCTTGAAGACCCACCTCCTCCCATCCCCAGTTTTGACTTTGTGCCACATTTTTATATTTTCAAAACAAATATTACTTTCCTCTATGGTATCTGGACTTTATGAATTTAAGTGCTGTTTTGTAGACACTGCAAAGATATTCAAGAAAGTACGCCACAAAGATTTGTTAGCGCAGCTCAACAACCTTGACATTTTGGGGAAAGATATTAGAATAATCAAGAATGTATACTGGCAGCAAACCACCTGCATATGGACAGATAATGAGTTCAGCAGATATATGAAAATAGAAAGTGATGTAAGACAAGGATGGGTCTTCTTGCCAGATTTATTCAACCTATACAGCAAGGCAATTCTTAGACAGAAGTCTTATCAGGATTAATTATTGGTGACCAAAATCTTAATAATATAAAATATGCAGATAACACAGTGCTGATAGCAGACATGGAAAAGAAACTACAAAACATCTTACAGAATATAGGAAAGAAAAGCAAGAAGAAAGGACTAAGCATAACCTACAAAACAAAATTTAAATGCAATGTCAATATCTATCTACTGGCCTCCTGATTATGCTTTCTTCTTCCAGCTCATTATTAACATTTCTGTTCATATTTCTTCCACATCCTGTAATCCCTTATGCCTTAGTGGCTTTATTGCCATGCATGGGGTGATACTGATTTTTAATATATATTTATATATACACACACACACACACAGTTTATTTATTTTTCTGAACGTATCATTCTTTTCATTACATAGGCTCATATATTAATTTTGTGTCTCTCTATACATTTTCTCTATTTTCTTTCAGAATCTTCCTTTCTTTCTTCATTTCTGCCTTTCTCTCTCTCTCTCTTTCTCTCTCTCTCTCTCTCTCTCTCTCTCTCTCTCTCTCTTTCGCTCTCTCTTTCGCTCTCTCTCTCTCTTTCGCTCTCTCTCTCTTTTCGCTCTCTCTCTCTTTCGCTCTCTCTCTCTCTTTCGCTCTCTCTTTCGCTCTCTCTCTCTCTTTCGCTCTCTCTTTCGCTCTCTCTCTCTCTTTTGCTCTTTCTCTCTCTTTTGCTCTTTCTCTCTCTTTTGCTCTTTCTCTCTCTCTCTCTCTTCACCAGTGTGTTCATGTCTTTCCTACTCACTGTCCCATTGTGTGCACTTAGCTATGTTACAAGTTCATATCTATCAAATTTAATTCTAGTTTCTTTTTCACATTCACCCCCCCCGGCAACTCTTCTCTATTCCATTTAACTAATTGGCAAGTGCACTTAATTGTTGTTATTGTTGTTACTGAAATACACAGAGCCAGATATACCCTGGACCTCTTCAACCCAAGAAAATACATCAAGAGATAAAATTACAATAATTTTAAGTACAAACAGACATTTTCATGGTTGAAATAAATAAAAATTATCAGCAAAAGTATGAAACAGTTTAAATTCTGACAGCATATATTAAAAAAAATGCATTTTATAAACAAAAATAAATAAAAGGAGAAAAAAAAACATGTAAGAATTAAATGAAAAGTGATATATTGTTTTTTATATACACTGTCAAGTAAAGCATATGTGGATGAGTGGTTAGAATTTTGGCATTTGGACCCTAAGACACAGGTTCAACTCTCACAATGTTCACTTGGTCAAGGTGACATTTTGATGATATCAGCCAAGGGAGATTATCTCAGTGTGTGACACCATTGGGAAATGGGTTGATTCAAGCTTTGTGAGTGAAATTGGGTGGACAAGACTGTTCAGAAGCTGTGAATGGTTGTGCTAACATAGTCACATGTCATTATGAACGAGCGTTTGAATGTACTGACTTTGTTCAAAATATTGAACATGACAGATTATGTTCTCTCTCCAAGAAACTTTAACTAAGGTCATTTCAGCATAGTTGCAGCATAAACCATAGTTTGGCTCTGTGGGTGTCAAATAAACACAAATGTTCCTGAGCATGCATCTGCAACAAGGTTTAGCTAGCCACCTTAACTGACAGACATACTCAGATATGAGTGGCCAACTAGATTTTATAATGCATTTCAAGTCAGTGTTTTCACAATTGGTATTAAACATTAACCGATTAATGTTTGCCCTCAGAATCGCACCAAACTAGCAAAGGAGATGAATTCAGGATTGATCTGAGGTAACTTCCCAACCACCATGTGTAGGTTCATGTGACCAGACTAACTGTGGGAAAGAACCGGATGACAGAAATAGGTTATATAAACACCCAGACATCACAAATGAATTCCATGACTTGATGAGGATTGATTGATTTTCTATGGTTTATCAACCCTTTGCAGGTTATTTAAAGCCAAAAAATCATTTTAGATTGTATGAATTTTAGGAGATAAAAATAATTTACGAGTACAAGGCCTACTAATTAGCCTATAGCTGGTAGTAAGGAGAAGAGGTGATTTCATGCTTTTCCTAAGGATACTTACATGTAAGTGAAGATAACTTACCCCACTAACAATTCCAAGCCATTAATCATTATACCATCCACACATCCAAGCTTACACACCTAGTATTACCAAGTGGTCAGTCATCTAAGTACTGACCAGGCCTGATGTTGCTTAACTTCAGTGATCATATGGCAACTGGTTCTTCCACATGATTTGGTCTGTAACCTACACAGGTGCTATGGGGTTGCTCACAGTACCAGAGTAATCTAAAATGTAATATGATTGATAAGTGCTATGCTGTCATTAATTGACATGATTAGTAAAGTTTTCAGGATAGATTTCTTGGAGCAATATATTATTTGGGTTTTGACTTAGAATGTTTATCTTTTATTGAAAATATTGATAAGGACTTGTTTTGAGGATATCGGGTTTTATTAGTCAGAGTACGACATTAATGTTTATTTATAATTGAATCCACAAGCAATTGTCTACAGAAACACAAATTTTATTAACACTATGGGCTGTAGAGTAGAATAAATTATTTTACATGTTAATATGGGATTCTTGAGATCAACTTTGGAAAGAAAATAGAGATGGATTCTATTTTGAATGACGTCAACAAAATAAGTGCAAAGTAGCAAAATTTTAAGTGACATGACATTGTGAATGTTATAGACAAGCATATGGTTGCAAGAAAGAAATACAACAACAGCAGAAATAGATTTATGTGATTTATTTCAATAGGAACGTGTGGGTTTGGGACAGTTACCTTGTGGTATAGTTCATAATCCGGCTGGAGATCTGGGTTGATCTCTCATAGTAGTTCTGGTTGGCGTGGCACTCCTCCTGCTGACTGCTGCCGACCGCTCAGCCTGACCGTGACAGGTCTCTACCCTGGCCTCCTGTTGACTGCTGCTGACTGCCTGTGTAACCCCATTTTATGGCGTTTTTGATGGCTTAACAGGCTTGAAAAACAACGCGAGTTTAATTAGGAGGGAAGCATTTTTATTGGTCGAAAAATAAGAACACTTTAAAATATTTATTTTTCGACCAGAACTCGTGCGTCGGGCCTATGTGTAAACGACGATAATGGTCATTTTGTGACGGGGCCTTGTTCTTGAGTATGTTAGTTTATTTGCCTGCAAACCAGCCGAGATGTCTTATTTTATTTTATAGCACGAGGCATGCCAACTTACATGAAAAAAAAATAACAAATGATTTCTCTCACACACACACACACACACACACACATATATATATATATATATATATATATATATATATACACACACACTAATGGTAACAAAATTTGGCAAAAAAATGTAATTCTAGTTTAATTTAATTAATGTTCTTCTTGACAACCTTCTGGCAACAACCAGTATTTCAAATGCTTATTTTCATGATCAGATGTTCCATCACTTTGAAAGCTTTTAGCTTTATAATCATTACATTGAAAAATTGATTGATTTGTTTTTCATGGTTTATCAGCCATTTTTTAGGCAGAACCAGATGACAACCAGTATCTTAAATGCTGATTTTCATGGTCAGGTGTTCCAAGACATAGCTAATTTCTAGCTTCATAATCATTACATTACTGCAAATTAATTTTAGGGAGCAATATTCATAAAAGAATACTACCACAGTCTTACATGACATAATTTAAAGAACCATTGTTTTTTTTTTTTTTTTTTTTTTTTTTTTTTTTTTTTTTTTTATAGACAATAATGACATTTCTAGAAACAAGCCCTACTATTTAATCAACCCATTGCTTGGAAGCAAAAGTGAATTTGCATGTAAGAGAATGCAACAAATTCAACTGTAATTTGAACTTGGCTCTTATTTTGAGCCATTGTCATTACACCGCACACATCCTGTGCATTTTCAATCCGTTTCAAGATTTATGACAATTTTGTATCACTGAAACTTTAAATGTTAATCTTAAGATGTTTTCTTAGAAATTAGAACTTCAAAAGCAAGATTATTTCGCTTTTTTCAGGATCTTTTACAATGAACCATTATGTGAAAGAGTTAATTTTTCATCAACTCTTAAATACCAGCTGGTTTCAAGTTAACAAATGAAGATCAAGAAACACGTGTACAGATTTCGGATATTTTTTTTTTTTTTTTTTTTTTTAAGATCTTGTTTTCTGCATCAGGAATAATCTCTTTTTGGTGATTTTCCTTCTTGCTTCATTTCACCTTCAATCATCTGATAATTTAGTTTGATTAAATTGGACAGGGAAAATAGTACATTGTTATCAAAATAAAAATCTTGGAAGCAGAGCCCCAAATTGATTATATACAGAATTGTCTCCCTTTACATTTAGCAGCACAATGCTTAAAAAATCATGAGAACTCACAAATTTCATCAAATTAAGGACTTCAATTAGCAAATTCGAATTAATTAAAAGCTAAGGAAAAGAATAATCAGTACTAAGTTATAAAGTCAGGTCTGCCAACATAAACTTGATGAGATGCCTAGAACAAAAAAAAAATATATAAGTCTACATTTAGTATGCATGTTTAAAGACAAAAGTAATTGGCCTCTTTGGTCAATACTTCATTTGATTCAATTCAGAGATGAATATTTAAATGTATGTGTTCAGACACAATTTCAAATTCTATTGTTTTTCTTTTAAATTAATTCCATAAAATTCTGAAAAAGAAGAATAGTTAATTGTTCTTGATAAACAAAACATGTAAAACAATTTTAATTTTATATTTTCTATCTCTTTGCAAGATTATTTTTCTCAATTATGTTTCTAATTTTGCTCAAAATTCTAATGAGGTTACATGGAACAGATGTCATTGAAAAAATATGTTCTAAAGAGTGTTTATTTTTTTTTCTTGTTTTATTTTTCAAATAGTCCAGTAAAAATCAGTCATTATCCTCAGTAGATATATATCTGCAGTTAAAATTAATGTTTAAATTGTCTACTTAAAATTATTTACATTATTTCTCATATAGTGAAGGATTACTGCAGAGATTCAGGGTGGCATCTATTTCATGCAGCAGACAAAAAGAAAAAAAAAAGATTTCTTACCTCAAACTGGTACAAGGCAAGCAGTACTTCATATGGGAAGAAAAATAAGTAGTTAAAGTGTCCTGTTTTTTAAAACTGGTCTCATGCACTGATTGGCTGGTTGTTTGGCCAATCGATGGCAGCTTGATATAATAAAAACCTTACAAGAAAAAAGGTGGCATGATAGTTCTTGGAGCTTATCACTGTTGGTGCTGAGTCCCAGGTATCGGTGTGGTGTCCCAGGTATTGGCTGGTAATTCTTATGCATTTGTTACTGCCCCCCCCCCCACATTTTTTTTTGGTTCCCATGGGGATTTTCTACACTATTGTCCTCATATTTGTTGTTGTTATCTCGGTGGGGGGGGTGCTGTTGTGCTCTCCAGCCTCTTTCAGTTGTGTCTTGATCTAGGCAATCTTCAAGATATTTCAAACTGAACCTTTATTGAATCTGAACCATTTCTTTACTCATCCAGCTGCTTGTGTAAGGATATCTCAACTTGTTTTTATTTATTACTGTTCAGTTGTTATACAGTTTGCACTGAGTCTGTCTGCACTACTGGTCCCAGGGATTGAACTTACAATTACTATGTCCCCAAATTTATGACAGGTGAAAATTTTGGTTTAATTCATTGAATTTTTATATTCAGTCCATTCCAAAAATTATCAAACATAAACAAAAAGAAAGACCTAAGTCTTTAATCATAATAGAAATTTTAGATTTTTAAAAAGAAAATCCATTTAAATGTTCTGGAAGTCATTAAATCTCAGTTCAGATCTTGAAGAGAAAAATTCAAATTACAAAATGAAAATATTTTGGCTCATTGGCAACTGAAATATTTTATGTCTATTTTTATAATTGGTCATGTCTATTTCTTAGTGAGAGAGTTGTCTACTCTGTCAATAACATAATTAATGCTTTCTAAAACAGACTTCATGAATTTGGTTATGTTATATTTACTTATACCCTATGCACAAATACCCTTGGGAAAAGTATAAATCTTCCTCTTCTCACCTCCAGCTTTTGGTTAATTAGCAGTAAATCATTATCTTCCCACCAAAAAGTTTTACAATCTAAAAGTATTTTCTGCTTTTAAATAATCTGCAAAATTGGTGCTAAATCATAAAAAGACAATTAATTTGCTATGTTTGTCAAATTGATTTTGTCAATAAATTCTTTGTGGGTGTGGAGAATATTAACTGCGTTAAAACATGTGAAATGCATATTTGAGTACATCACAGTTCTGATTCTTTTGTATCGGAGAAGAGAGATCATTTTGCTGTAGAAGTAGACAAGTCCACCTATCATCCAGTACACACTCCTCCCTGGTATTTTGAACAGAGGTTTATCCCTTGTTTCCTGTTTAGGATTGGATTTTCAGTTTTTTTCTAAAGTTTTGTCATTCTCATTCATTCCCAGTAGCCACTTGTGTCTTAGAGACATTATCACCTTGCTTTGGTTGAACTGATTAAAAAAAAAAAAGCAAAAAAAATGAATGGCAGTATTGGAGGTGGGGTCTTGGAATTTGTGGGTGTATACACACACACACACACACACATATATATATATAATGTACTAATGTACATCCAATACAAGGCTCAAGAGCCACTTGTAGTAGAGAATTGCTGAATATAAGATGAGGTAGAAGGAAGGGAAGATAAGGAGGCTAGATAGAAATTGACACTTGAAGCAGTTAAGATTGGAGGGTTCAGGGAAGCATCTATATTGGAGTTTGTTCCATGGAGCTGCAGTCCTCCAGAATATAATGAATGATGCAAAAGTTATTGTTATGAAAAGTGGTGCCAAGTCCAAATTCTGGTTGATTCTGTTCCATTCACTTGAAGATCTCCTTGGAAAAGGCATGACACCATCTTCTTTCACCTGTGTGTTAAATAGCAGGAAAGAATGATCTTTATTTGATTGGGTGGCATACAGTCTAGGTGAGTATAAAAAACAAAAAAAAACTCTAAATTCAAACCTTACTTTACTGAGCTCTTTATAGATTGTGAAATTAGTCAACTGTGCTATGTTGTTTACATGGTGGGAGAATATATGCAGTTACCATCTTGCACTTGCATCTATTGTCAAAGAATAATTAGTTTCAGGAAGGAACTAAGAGATACTTTGTCATGCTATGATTTCAAAAGAAAATCTGCTTATGTTGTTTTTTTTTTTTATAAGTAATTGTC